TCGGGGTCGGGGGTCTCACTGGACCATTTTGATTTTCATTCAACCCTGCTCCTGGGTGGCCAGGCTGGCAGCTCTCCTGCCTTAGACAGCCACTTTCCTGTGCCTAGTGCGGAGGTCATGGACGTTGGAGGCCTTCCCCCAAACCTGGATGAGGTCCACGATGTCTGCACTAGCCCAGGCGGGCGGAAGAGGCGGAGGGCTGGGTGGCAGCGGGTGGCTGGTTCGTGCTGTGCCAGGTGCAGGGTCTGCTGGCTGGGTGCTGGCAGGCTTGCACCTGGCACAGACACCGTATCCAGACCGTGCCCCTTTAAGGGCTCCGGGGCCGGGAGGGGGACAGACGAGTTTCCCTGGTGGTGCCCAGAGTGGCCACCAGGGAAACCTGGGGAGGGCTAGCCTCCCACTAGTTCGAATTAAGCGGCTACACAGCCCTTAATTCTAACTAGTTAATTCGAACTAGGCGCTAGTCCTCGTAGAATGAGGTTTACCTAGTTCCAATTAAGTTCGAACTAGTGGTTTGCCTGTGTAGCGCCTATGAAAGTTAATTCGAACTAACGACCGTTAGTTCAAATTAACTTTGTAGTGTAGACATACCCTAAGAAATAATATACAGATGCATAAGCTTTCGTGGGCAAAATACTTTTCCTCCCGCCTTCTTGTTTTAAATTCTGGGGGGCTGTGATCCGTCTCCACTACATCTGAGGAAGTGGGTTTTGCCCGAGAAAGCGTGTGATACCACTTGTATATTTTCGTTAGTCGCTCACGGGCCCCTCAGGGTGCTACTTGTGGCTCATACTAATCAGTTCTCCATTTTTAGGGCGTCCAATCTGATTCACATCGAAAAATCCACTCTCCCGGGAAGAAGAGAGACGTTGTTTTTCTCTTGCTCGCACGTTCCCTTCCTGGGAGGACCAGGCAGTTAGGGGACCAAGCACGATCTTGGATTCACGAGGAGTGAGAGTAGCCGTCTGTTCCTGGCGTAGGACTGCTGTTCCTTCCCACTTCGTGGTCTAGTAGCGCCTGGGGATTTGCGGTGCAAATTTCTCCTTCCTCCGCCAGCCGCCGCCGGGTCAGTGCCTTTCCCGATCAGCCTCCGCATGGCTATTCACGAATCGATTCGATCTCGTTTTCCGTCAGCGTGTCTGCCTGCCGCCTGCCTTGATAGCGCTGTGGATGCGCCCGGCGGCTCTCACGGCGGATTTCATGGCTGCTTCGATCCAGCCGGCAGGCATGGCGGTGTGTTCTCCTGCGAAATACACCCTCCCTTCGTTCTGAAACAGAGCTTGGCTGTAGTCGGAATACTGGTACGGTGTAAATAAGGCAAAGCTTCCCATTGAATATTTGTCCAGGCCCCATTTCTTGACCACGTGTTTCCTGCAGACGTTCCGGATGTAATTCTGGGGCACGTGGTGGACGGCCGCCAAGTCAGCCAGCACCACGTCCACGCACCTTTCATCGTCAAGAGGGAGGAAGAATTCGGCTTCATCCCCCCACGTGTAGGAAGCCAGGATCACCCCCGTCCTGTTGTCGAAGCTGTGGTTGGGGTAGTAGATGGATCGGGCCGGGCGGTCGGTAATCGACTTCCCGTAAAAGATTCCGTCCTTCTCCCAGAATTTCTCCGAACAGACCAGGAAAATCTTAGTGCCTCTGACGTAGTGAATGGAACGCAAGGCCTGCGTCTTCTTAGCAGAAAGAGGCGGAGAGAATTGAATCAGCCGGGTAGCTTTGGCCGTGGCGGTGACCAGGACGTAGTCGGCCGGCACCGGGCGGGGGATGGCGGCGTGGGACTGGCGGTAAAGCACTCTCACGTGGTCCTTGCCACGGATGATCTTCACAACCGGCGAATTAAATTGGACCTCTCCGAGGAGGTCCTGGTAGAACGCCTCCGGCAGCTGATCGAACCCCCCGGTGATCTCGTCGTAACTGAAAGAGAGATGGAGGAAAGACGCTGGTCACACGGTGCCCACCCCGGACTGCGAGAATGCCCTGCATCGGATGGCCCCTCTAGGGCTAAGCTTCCACTATGGAGTGAAGTGTTGAACTCCATCAGAACTCACTTAGGGTGCGTCTACATGGCATGCTTAATTCGGATTAAGCACTTCCGCAAGAAACACTCTGAAATAGTGTCTTTCGAAAGAGCCCGTCCACACTGCAGGGAAGCCTCGAAATGAGTCCGAGGCAGGGTCCCCTAATGTGGACGCTCTACCTCGATTTACAGCCCCAGGAGTAATTACGTTGAATGGCCCATGGGGGAGGAGTGATTTCAAAATAGCACCAGTGGAGCGTCCGCACGACTGCTATTCCAAAATAGCTATTTCAGGAGAGGCGTTATTTCTCGGGGAACGAGGTCTACAGAAGTCGGAAGAATTTATTTCAAAATAATGGAATGGCGGTGGAGACCCTTGCGTTATTTGGGAGGAACAGCAGATCTTCCGAAATAACGCCGTTGTGGAGACACACCCCTCAGGGAGGATCTGTGAGCACAGCCTTTTGGGACTATAAAAAAGTCGTAAGGACCCCTCTCTCACGACCCAGCCCACCGATGTGTGCTCGGAGAAGGCTGAGAGGTGAGATGATAAATGGACGAGAGGGTAGGAGGTTGACTGACAGAAGGCATGCAGATGGCCAAACGAGGAGCAATGGGCTCAAGTTGTTGTGGGGGACGTCTAGGTTGGAGATTAGGGAAAACGATTTCCTTAGGCTAGTGGGGAAGCGCTGGGATGGTTCCCTAGGGAGGGGGTGGAGTTTCCATCCCTAGAGGCGTTTCAGTCCCGGCTTGACCAAGCCCTGGTTGGGTTGATTGAGTTGGGTTGGTCCTGCTTTGGGCAGGGGGGTAGACTCGATGACTCCTGAGGTCTCTGCCCACCATGGTACGCATCGAATAACAAATGGCTACATTGACAGGCCCCACGACAGATGAACTGCCCCTCCCCTTCCATCCAAAGCAAGAGAATAAAGACGCTTTTTTTGACTCACCTCTTCTCAGAGAAGCTGAAGAAGGCTATGACGGAGGACAGGAAGGACATGTAGAATAGACTCTCTTTGCCCAACACGTCCCCGATCATGCGGATGGCCCCTTGACTCAACTTTCCTTCCTTGATCAGATATTCCTTGGGGGTGGGCAGTGGGGGGAGAACAGGCGTATTAAAACCCCATTGAGAAATGACAGCCCCCCAAAATGCCATTGCTGTTAAGGGATTCTTCAATAGGCAGGAGAGATGGGCAGGAGCCAAACTCATCCTACTTGGTCATTTGAGTCACCAAGTTTAATTCTTTCTCTAGGGAAGTCAATCGGAGCATTGCTCTTGACTTCAATGGGGCCATGATTTTATCCATTGCATCTCTACCAAGACGTCATTGTCTTTGATTAAAGAACCATGACCCAGATATGCCTTCTGGAGGGTAAGCATTTTGGTGGGTGGGAACACAGAGGGTACGTCTAGACAACAGGCTTCTGTCAACTAAGAGCGGCTAGATGACATCCAGTTCTGTCGACACAGCAAGCCACTTTGTGGACCTGAGAGTGTAGACCCAAAGGACAGTGTAGATGCAATAACGCCTTCTGTCGACAGAACTTTGTCGACAAAAGGCGTTATTCCTCGTAGAATGAGGTTTACCGCCGTCGACAAAACTGTCGCGTTCTGTTGACGTTATGTCGAAAGAACTTGGCAGTAGTGTAGACACAGGTATAGTTTTGTCGACAAAAGTCCACTTTTGTCGACGAAACCCTGTAGTCTAGACACACCCAAAGGGTGTATCTAGACTACAGGGTTTCGTCTACAAAAGTGGGCTTTTGTCGACAAAACTATACTTGCGTCTACACTGCCTTTGAGTTATATCGACATAACGTCGGCAAAACTCAGCAGTTTTGTCGACGTATGTAAACCTTTTACAAGGAATAATGCCTTTTTTCGAAAGTACTCTTTTGAAAAAAGGTGCTATTGAATGCAAAGCGTGCTATTTCGAAAGAGCATCTAGATTCTCTTTTGACAAAAGTGGCTTGCTTTGTCGACAATACTTCGAAAGTACTCTTTCGAAAAAAAGCGCTATTGCATTCAAACTGCTATTTCGAAAGAGCATCTAGATTCTCTTTTGACAAAAGTGGCTTGCTTTGTCGACAATACTGATCATAGTCTAGATGCTCTTTTTCGACAGAGGCTTTGTCGACAGTATCGACAAAGCCTCTGTCGAAAAAGGCGTGCAGTCTAGATGTAGCCAGAGAAAGGTTATCCCACTGAAAACATGTTGGGTATGGATACCTACCTGGATGAGGCCACATCTACACTAGAAAACGATTCCGAAATTACTATGTTTGACTTAACTCCCAATTTAACAAATTCGAACTAGTGTGACCTCGCTACCGAGAATCCTCTAAATGAGTCTGACGCAGGCTCCCCAAGGCGATGTCTAGACTATGGAGTTTTTCTGGGATACCTCTGGTATCTCAGAAAAACTCTGTGGTGTCCAGGGAACGCATCTGCTCTTCCAACATATTTTGTGGAAGACCAGACGCTCTTTCGGAAGCCCTGTCCTCTTTGTGCCATGAGGAAGAAGAGTTCTTCCGAAATTTTCCAAAATTTGGCCCAATGCAGATGGGCCAAATTCTGGAAAAGCCTTTTCCGGAAAAATAATTAGAAAAAGGTAGCCAATTGCAGAGTGCAATTGGCATACCTTTTTCCAGTAAAACTCCGTAGTCTACACGTAGCTTTAATGTGGGCGTGCTACCTCAGACGTAGAGGCCCAGGAAGCATGGGGAGTAATTAGTTCAATTTACCCTGGGGAGCAATTATTTCGAAACAGCGGCACCGGCACATCTGTACAACCGCTGTTTCGAAATAGCTCTTTCGGAATGAGCGTAATTCCTGATGAAAAGCAGGAGCCCAGATTTCAAATGAAGCAACCCGGAATTCCGAAATCACCGGCTTGGTCATGTGGACACTCTGCTTATAAAGTCAACCTTAGGTGGGGGGGTTATTTCGAAATAATGACCTCATGTAGACCAGAGCCGAGAGGGCTGGGGGAAGGGTGGGGAGAAGGGATGCCAGGTTGGTTACACAGGACTGGAAGAGGGAGGTGTCTTCACTCTACTAGAACTAAGTGTATCGGAGCTCCAAGACCACTGGATTTCTGTGGGTTGGTGTTGTGGGTCGGGAGAAGCAGAGATGCCCCTGCGCTTCACCTGCCGCAAACCAGAGCTAGGAAGACCCAATGGGGAAATATATGGTGCCCCTTGAAAACCCACCATAAATATACCATCTCTCCCCAGCCTGGGTCTATAGGAGGGTACTGATGCATTATCTCCTCCTACCATTGACGGAGGACCCGTGGCAAGATGTGTTCCGCTGGCGGGGGGAGGGAAAGGCGTAGGTCAGGACGTTAGCACCTTTGGATGTAAAGACGTGGAATGTCACGTTCAGTTACCTTGGTGGAAAAGGAGTCGTATTTCCCCTTCAGAGCACTGCAGTTGCTTGTCACCTGCGGAGCCCAGAAGAAAACAATCATTTGTTTCATGTCTTTGGTTTATTATTTTCCCTGGTCATGATGATGTATGCATAGGCCAGTTCCTAGGGCATACGACTCATCAGGTGAAAGAGTTGCAAACAAAATCTCTTGCATTCCATCCCTACAATTCTCCAGCTGACTCGCTTGCTTTCACTAACATGGTCTAAACAATAAAAATAAATAGACTAAAGATCAAATTTTCAGACATGTCTAAGGGTGTTGTCTTAACATTCCTCCCCCAGACAATCTGCTCTACACGACTTGAAGTCGACATACATACCCCCAGTCGACCAACTCTACCCAACTTGAAGTCGACATACATACCCACAGTCAACCAACTCTACCCAACTTGAAGTCAACATACATATCCCCAGTCAACCAACTCTACACAACCTGAAGTCGACATACATACCCCCAGTCGACCAACTCTACCCAACTTGAAGTCGACATACATACCCACAGTCAACCAACTCTACCCAACTTGAAGTCAACATACATATCCCCAGTCAACCAACTCTACACAACCTGAAGTCGACATACATACCCCCAGTCAACCAACTCTACCCAATTCAAAGCTGACATACATACCCCCAGTCAACCAACTCTACATGCCTTGAAGTCAACATACATACCCCAGTCAACCAACTCTACCCAACCTAAAGTCAACATACTTATCTTCCATGCGGTAAAGTCAATGGGGATTGCTCTCCCACCGACTCCAGCTACTCTACTTGTACTGGCATCAACAGGAGAGCACTCAGAGATTTATTTATCGTGTCTAAGTGGGAAGGTCACCAGTTCAAGTAAAACCAGAACCCAGGCTGAAAAGACTACTAAGGCTACATCTAGATTTATTGCACTGGAAATCGATCATCTGGCATTTGACTTAGTGGGTCTAGTAAGGACCAACTTTATCAAACGCTGAGGGTGCCTCATGGTTACTGCTCGATTCGTGAGGAATAAGAGAAGTCGATGAGAACTTTTGCTCTCGTCAACCTTCCCTGTAGAGACGGCACCACTCTCGGTGCAAGGTATATTGACTATAGCTGTGTTATTTACTGGAGTTGCACACCTTATGCCGACCATCTGGGTGCAGTGTGGATCTGGCCTACGTTTGAGAGATTTTAGAACCAACACCCAAATGAGAACCCAAGCTAACTCTTAAGGAAACCAGAACCCCAACCCACGAGTCTTTGCCACAACACACGCACCTTATCCAGTGTCTGGTTATAAAGCTCACTGGCAGATTTTCCTCTTTCGGAGTGATGCACCGGGTATTGCAAGATGTCAGGATTTTGTTCGACATCTCCAGCTCGTGCCCTGACGTTGTTAACCAAATACCAGCCCATCTTGTTGCTATTATAGAATGGGTTCAGCTTCAGATTCAACTTTTTAATAAATTCACGCACAAGTCTAATGGAAAAGGAAAAGGGGGGGGGGGGCAGAGAAAATTTCAAAACCAGGAAAGAAAGTTATCTGCTGCCATACAATCTTCGAACACAAATGCCCTAACCCCATCTATGTAACGGAAATCATTTCTGCATAATGAATCCAGAGACCCACTTTACCAAAACCCAATCATGCAACTACTGCCGGTCAACGTTTGTTCAGGGATGATCTATACCGGGGTGGACAATAATTTTTGTTGCAGGGAAGGGGGAGGGCCATGCCAAGATTTTGGAAAGTGGCCAAGCGCTTCACTTTTCCATGAGATTAATGGAGATGCGGCACCTGGGATGGAGGGTGGGTGCGGAAGGGAGACTGGGATAAGGGATTAGGGTGCAGGAGGGAGACTGGAGTCTGAGAGGGAGTTAGGGTAAAGGAGGCAGCAGGCTGAAAACAAATAAAAGGAAGTTCTTCTTCACACAGCGCATAGTCAACCTGTGGAACTCCTTGCCTCAGGAGGTTGTGAAGGCTAGGACTAGAACAGGGTTTAAAAGAGAACTAGATACATTCATGGAGGTTAGGTCCATCAATGGCTATTAGCCAAGATTGGTAAGGAATGGTGTCCCTGGCTTCTGTTTGTCAGAGGGTGGAGATGGATGGCAGGAGAGAGGTCACTAGATCATTACCTGTTTGGATCCCTCCCTCTGGGGCACCTGGCCTTGGCCACTGTCAGCAGCCAGGCCGCCAGGCTGGATGGACCTTTGGTCTGGCCCCATCTGGCAGTTCTTATGAGGCTATCGTGACCCAGTGCAGGGGTTTGGGATGTGACCTAGGAGAGGAGGGGATTGTGATTGGGACAGGAGATTGGGGGGCCAGATCTGGGTGGGGATATGAGTGCAAGAGAGGGGAAGAGGGTTTGGATATGTTGAGTGGGGGGTAGGGAGGCACCAGAGGCAGGCTGTGGCCAGGAGACTTTCCAGCCAGCAGCCAAACCAGCTGCCTGCCTGCCGAGCTAAGGTGGGCAGAGTTTAAAACTTTTCCCAGCCAGCCTGCCTGCCCAGCCATGTGCGTGAACAACTGTGCCGAGGAAGGGGGGGGCTGGTTCTTCGTGGCTGCCTGTTATTCAAACAGGCCGCTCCCATTGACCACTTTGTCAGATGCTTCAAGTCCTGGAGGAAAGGGGCGTTTGAACCTATTCAAATTTAAAACTTTTCTATGCCCTCCCCCCTCCCGCCTGGAATTATGATACATTTTTAAAAAATAGGGCTTCCCCTGTTCTGAACAGGGCTGGCGAACAAGGCGGGTTCCCAACCGATTACCTGTGATGTTTGGGCAAACGCATGGGTCCCAGCTCCACGTACCAGTCCTCTTCTCTGTGGGTCAGGATGCGTCCTCCGAGACGGTTACTGGCTTCCAGAAGGAGAACCTAGACATGAAACACGCGGTCTGATTTTCAAGCCCTTGCCATTTGTTCGTGAACTCTTCCTAAACAAGGTGAACCAGGACCTCCAAACTTGGCAGGCAGCTTCCTCTTACCGTAACGTAAAGAAAGCACGGTCGGGGTTTGGCTGTGCCGGGACATTAGGACGTACCAAGAATGGGACTGGTTCTCAGAAATTGGAAAGGGTAGGCAAGATAGTTATACTGTAGAATGACCACAAGGGGGCAGAAAGGGGCCAGAGATGGGGAATTGGACAGCAATAACCCCTTTTGGCCAGCAGGGGGAAGGGATGGAGGAATGGGTGGCTACCCTACTATATATTTCAGAGAATGTGTCTGTTTCTTTGTCCTTTTTGTGTGGGTTTCGGACATGCACCCCCCTTTCCCCGGTGAGTACTTTATAAGGCGTGGGGAGTCACACCTGCCGTGTGAAGCGGGTTCACACACATCGAAACTTTTGACAGCCGCTATTGCGTGTTTGTCTCTTGAACGATCGAGATGGATTTCTCCCGCGCCACTTCGCTTGCAAACAGTCGCCGCCCAGAAGAAAATAACGATCCCGGAAAAGGAATTTCGGACAGCTTATGGAACTGACGAAAGACCACGAACTCCATGAGACTGAACGAGAGGCTTACGATTAAGGAAGTGCTCAAGTATTCTTCCTAATTAGAGATACTCTCCTAAATTGGGGACCTAAGAGACAGATTCAAATATAGAATACTTTCCAGGAATCTTTCCCGTGTATTACTAAGCACAAGTTTTCAATGCCAGGAGGTGTTTAATACTACAACTAGCACTTCAAATATAAGCGCACATGCAATTTTTGCTGACTTTTCCAGCCCTGGGGGCTACATTCCTTGCGTGATCTAGCAAGTACGTAAGCTACGAGCAGGGATAATGGATAAAGACCCACATGCGCCTTCGATCCTTCCTGTCAAAGGTAAGGGCCTGGGCAGAGACAGGTGCATTCTGGAGGTGAATGCCTGGCTGTGAGGATGGTGTCGCCAGGAGGGATCTGGCTTCCTCGACCACAGGATGCTATTCCAGGAAGCATTGCTAGACAGAAATGGCGTTCACTGTTCGAGGAGGGGGAAGACCCTGTTTGGACACAGACTGGCTAACGTAGTGAGGAGGGCTTTAAACTAGGTTTGACGGGGACAGGTGAGCAAAGGTAAGTGGAGAACATGGGGACCCGGGAGATGGGTTGGAAATGGGAAGGAGCGTGGGCTATAATGGCAGAGAGAAAGGAGGGTCAGGGCAAAACTGGGAGGCAAAGTTAAATCAGAATCTGAGATGCCTATATACCAATGCGAGAAGTCTGGGTAATAAGCAGGAAGAACTGGACGTGCTAATAAATAAATATAATTATGACATTGTTGGCATCACAGAAACTTGGTGGGATAATACACATGATTGGAATGTGGTATGGAAGGGTACGGCTTGCTCAGGAAGGACAGACAGGGAAAAAAGGGAGGAGGTGTTCCCTTGTATATTAAAAATGAACACACTTGGAGTGAGGAGGAGATGGATGTAGGAGACGGACGTGTTGACAGTCTCTGGGTTAGGCTAAAAGGGGTTAAAACCAAGGGTGATGCCATGCTAATCCCCTACCAAGGTGGAAGAAGTGGACGAGGCTTTTTTTAAACAACTAACAAAATTATCCAAAGCTCGAGTTACTACAGATCCCCTACCCAGGTGGAAGAAGTGGACGAGGCTTTTTTTAAACAACTAACAAAATTATCCAAAGCTCGAGATTTGGTGGTGATGGGGGACTTCAACTATCCAGATATATGTTGGAGTCTTGTGTCCAGTTATGGGGACCACATTTCAAGAAAGATGTGGAGAAATTGGAGAGGGTCCAGAGAAGAGCAACAAGAATGCTGAAAGGTCGAGAGAACAGGAGCTAGGAGGGAAGGCTGAAAGAATTGGGTTTGTTTAGTTTAGAAAAGAGAAGATTGAGGGGGGACATGAGAGCTGTTTTCAGATATCTAAAAGGGTGTCTCATAAGGAGAAGGGAGAAAACTTGTTCTCCTTGGCCTCTGGGGACAGAACAAGAAGCAATGGGCTGAAACTGCAGCAAGGGAGGTTGAGGTTGGACATTAGGAAAAACTTCCTGCGTGTCAGGGGGGTCAAACACTGGAATAAATTGCCCAGGGAGGTTGTGGAATCCCCATCTCTGGCGATATCTAAGACTAGGTTAGATAAATGTCTATCAGGGATGGTCTAGACAGTGTTTGGTCCTGCCATGAGGGCAGGGGGCTGGACTCGATGACCTCTCGAGGTCCCTTCCAGTCCTAGTGTTCTATGATATCATTCTATGATTCTATGCAATTCAAGAGAATCGCGCTCTCAGTTGAAAAACAAAAGAAAACAAACAAAAAAAAAGCAATTAGGGTAAAGTTAAGGTTGCCGGGAGATACTGAATATCACTTTTGTTGAGTACAGAATTTTGTAAGAAATACCATCGATGGAGCCATATAGTTTAGACACACCCTTTGGGCTGACTCAGTCTGACCGTTCTGATGTTCTTATGTTCCAGATAATGGGAGGTCAAAAATATCTAGCAGTATTATCGACACTTCCACCACTTCCTGGGCTCTGAGAAGACATGTAGGGGCAAACTCAAGCTAAATCACAGCACAGAAGACTGAGAGCCAGGCCTGGGACCACGAGAAACTTGGCCACACCCACGCTGAGTGGACATCCAGCTAACTCAAATCATGCCAGACCACAGAGGTTGCCAGACTAGACAGTGCCGGATTAGAGAGGTCCAACCTGTAATACTGGACCAAAAATGGTATTTTCCTTGATTTTTTTTAATGCACAGATTTCGTTTCCTCCCCCAAAAAGTCTCATTGAAATGTTCTCTTTTCTTGACTAAAAAGCAAGCAAAAACCAACAGCAAAGCCATCCCTACGAATAACCATTCTTCTACCGTTTGCCAAGCATCGCCCTTTTTTGGCAGAAAAAAAAATTGGTGCTCCGTTTTTCATTCAAAATCATTTTTATAGCAATCAACATTTTCCCTTCAAAAATCCCCATTTGCCCCGGGCATTATTCCCCCTCCATACACTTCGAGGGATTGAGAAATGCTTCCCGAGCAATTTCTCTTTCTTAATCTGAATCACATCTAAACCAGCCGCCCTGCCGGGAACTCACGCCCTCCGCTGAAACCCAGATCCGTCTCCCGTGCCATCTCAGTGCTGGCACAACGGACAATCGCGCGGATCTGATTCTGCAACCGAAAACTAGGCTAGTTGTGTGGTTCCCTCCCCTACAAATTCCCCACTTTAAAAAAGGAGCAAAGGATTCTGGGAGTAAATCGGTTGAAAAAGGGAGGGGGGGGGATGCCCAAAGATTAAGCTGGCTATAAGAGAGATGCGCCGCTATAGAGTTCGTTGAACTGCGATAGGTCACTGACAAAGAGGGGCCCAAAACCATCCCATGCTTCTGAGCCCAGAATCACACCGTGTTCCATCCCGCTGCCCACACCTGGGGACCAGACGTTCCACTCACAGAAGTGCTCCATGTCTCGGCTCGCCGTTCAACTCCCACAAGGATCCCTTCTCCCTTTTATACACAGTGGCAGCTCTGGGTGGGAACGGATGGCGTAGTGCCCAGTGAAACCAAGTTGTCTCTCCAACGTACTCACAGGCATCCTTGGCCAAGTTGCGCAGCACGGCCTGCCTGGTTTGCTCTGGGTTGAGTAAGCGCTGTCCCAGAAGGAACACAGAAAGTGCCGTGGGTGGGTGGAGGTGGTACCCCATGGAAGTGAATACGGCAGGGCCCCACTCCGGGGAGGAACGCGAACGACTACTGCAGGAGGTGGCTTGGGAAAGGAAGGAGAGGTCAGAAAGATGGAATAGCAGGCAGGCATGAGCGAGAGGTGTGACCTGGCACCTGAGCTGTGGAGACCTCACGGAGCCAGTTTCACCCCAGGAGCCCATCTTGGTGAGTCGGAAACACAAGCCCGATACAACCCAGCCAGAGTCTCCTTGGTGGCCATACCCAAGTGAGAAGTGTGGCTTTTCCCCTGGGATGTTTGACTCTGCTGGAGGCCTGGGCTAGTAGATTTTGTGGGGGACCGTCTTGGCTCTGGGGTGGGGCCGAAACGAGGGGAGGGAGCTGCCGGGGAGCAGGATGGGCGGATAGGCTAAGATTTAACTCTGGCATCTTCACTGTTGTATCCGAGGGGTGAATAATTGGCTTTGCCCGACATGAACACGAGGTTGAGGTTGGACATTAGGAAAAAGTTCCTACCTGTCAGGGTGGTTAAACGCTGGAATAAATTGCCTAGGAAGGTTGTGGAATCCCCATCTCTGGAGATATTGAAGAGCAGGTTGGATGGTGTAGATCAATGTTTTGCAACCTTATTTTTAATAAAGTGCCCCTTTAAAAAATTTTTTTAAGTACTCCCAGTACCTACAGTTTTCAGACACACAACGTTTTTTTCTACCGTTGCCACACATTTGTGTAAACAACTTAATCGTAGCCGGGCAGGCAATTAACTTTTTGGGTGTAAAAAGTACAAAACTAATTAATTGCTGTAAAAGTTACAACAAACATTCAGTTTTCTCCAAAATTCAGTGGTGTGGACTCCTCCCCCCCTCCCCCCGACTTTTCTCGAGTCCCCCTAAGGGGACCAGTACCACTGGTTGAGAAACACTGGTCCTGATGGGGCTTGGTCCTGCCATAAAGTCAAGGGATGGGACTCGATGACCTCTCGCGGTCCCTGCCGGTTCTAGTAGGCTAGGTTTCTCTATTCAGTAGATTACATCCTTTTCATCGATGTCTCTCACACAAAGCGCATTCTAGGTTCGTGGTATTCATAAACCCTTTCCCATAATGCAGTGGTTCTCAGCTCGTATCAGTCCACGGACCATCAGGACGATCAAAACATTTTCGTGGACCGCCTCCTTTTTGAGACACGATAAAAAAGAGCAGACCACGAACATTTTGGTTTGAAATTTATTTCTTACTAATAGATTTTTGGTGCCTGCCCATGCCGTGTGACTTTGGACAACGTTCTTGTGGAACACCGAAAAAGTCACCGTGGACCACCAGTGGTCGATGGCCCACCTGTTGAGAACCACAGCTATAAAAGATGGAGACTGTCCCGTCACAAATAGGCGTCGAACGGTCCGTGCTGTGGAGGTGCAATACGAAGATAGGAGAAAGCGGGATGACGTCATACGACCATGACGTGGCACAGACTCCGAAGGGGTGCCCAATCCTACCGTTGACAAGATGGAAACGGGATGAAAACCTTCTTGGCGGGGGATTGTGAAAGAAGGTCCCAGACCTACGCAAGAGCTCTGGGCATACCCCAAAAGCGTCTTTCATTCACCACCCAAAGCTGGTCCAAGACGTTGGATCTCCCATATTTTGTCTGTCTCGCGGAACCCACGGGTTATGTCCCACGATGTACGGTGATCTCCTGCAAGGATGACAGGTGCTTGGGGGGATTGCATCGTGATGGACAACTTGAAAGTCCAAGACCTTGGTTGCCAAATGGTGAGGGTCAGTTATTCCCGGATCTGAATGGGGTCAGCTCTCTTCACCCCGTCGCCTGGGAGGGCCCAGAAAACGTGATTCAATCTAGGCTTGGTTTCTGGGCCGTCGTGAGCGCGTCCCAGAAGAACTGGGTCTGTGGTCTCCCTCCAGCGTTTGCTAGGTCTCCGTGGAACAGAAGGTTCGTCCAACCCACATCCACCGCCTTGGTTCTTCATTCGCGGAGGTCTGAGTCTGGGGGCGCGGGGAGGACTCGGTCAAGAGAGCCCAGAAGAACTCAAGGATTTTCACCACTTGGGGCATCGCGAGTGAAGCCGGCCGTTTCAGACTTCGTCACCTCGTGGCTTCCTCCCGACATCAAAAATGACTCGATGCCCAAAGTGAAACCAGAGCCCTCCTGAGCCTCACCTCCCCTTGCGGGGTGAGGGAAAAGCTCCAGGATTTAAGCTCCGGGGAGGGGAGTCTGTAAATTGAGCCTCTCCCCTCTGGACGGGTATCGGTTTTGGAGCAGGGAAGCGGGACATGGGTAACGTTCCCCCGGGGTCCTGTCTGCCAACAGTGGCCAATGCCAGATGCTGCAGAGGGAGCCAACACAAGCGGGAATCACCAAATGATCCCTCCCCGTCACCTATTCCCTGACAAACAGAGGCCACCCCATCCTGCCTAACAGACATCGATAGACCTAACCTCCATGAATCGATCGAGCTCTTTTTGGAACCCTGTGCAAGGCCTGGTCTTCACCGCATCCTCCAGCAAGGAGTTCCACAGGTTGACGGTGGGTTCCTGCCAGCACTTTCAATAGCTCCCTGCCAGATTTTGCCACAGCTGCGTGCCGGGACACCTCCGTGTCCTTTCACCTCCACGGAAAGGAGCTCCGGATCTGACTCTCTCCCCCCCCCCCCCCCCCCGAGGGGAAGGAACCCGATCGGGGTTTTGGGGGAAAGCTATGGAACGGGCTTTCAGAGCCAGGTGGACACCCGACTGGGTACAGTCGTATGACGGGGCTGCTGGAATCTCAGGAGTTCTCAGCTGATGTCTCAACAGCTCTTGCTTTCGGCTGGCCCCCGGGAGAGGTCTGGAAGGGACTTTTTTTTTTAAATCTCCTCCCTTTGAAACACCAGCTGGGGCCTGGCGGGAGATGGGCACCAGGGGGCAGAGTGGGCCAGGGATCTGAAGGCATGACGAGGGGGGGTCGGCGTTCCAGCGATCCATCCCCCGGTGATCGATTTATGAGGCCTGCTTAGGCCTGATCCATCAGCCCCCGAGCATGGGAGCGGATAGGCCGGCAGCTCCCGCCGACTTTCCCGTGTGCGGGTGTCGGTGTCGGTGAGATCGACGGGAGGGGCTCAAGAAAGCTCATGAATCTGTAGCCCCGTGGTCCCGTCTGGCCTTAAAAGCCACAACTGTCTGATTCTCCCACCCCAGGAAACACCGACCTTTCCTGCCCTTTCTTCCTGCCCCCGTAGCTTCCCTACCTTGCAAGCTGGGCCCCCTCCACTGGGTAGCGGTAACTGCACTTGTACAGCCTTTGTGGTAAACATTCAAGTTACACCCCATCAATGTCCTGTCTAATGTTTTCCATTTGCGGGCGGAATAAATTTTATCCTCTGCACCAACGCATGTGTGGATGTGTACCACCGGTGCAAACTCACACTCGTTTTATTTTGCTTGATGTTGTCTCCTAACACTCTTGCATGGTGACATGCCAGGGCCGTGACTGGTGAATTTGGAACAACACGCCAAAATATCGTGTCGGTTTGGATTTTGGAAACCGAGCCAACACATTCCCTTTTGGTTTTTAAAATTCGTTTCTGTCACTTTTTCACTCCTCCCCCCTTTTTCAAAAGGAACGAAATGTTTTTTGAAAAGGTGGGTCCAAAGGACATTGAAATTTCTCCTGTTTTTCAGGTGAAAAGAGGGGAAAACATCATTCTTTGGAACTGTCACCTCTTTTAAATCTTGAAAGTAATGTAGTATTTTAAAACATTTTCTTTTCATTTCCCAATTCGTAAAAAGAAGTTAATAAATGCTATTTCTCCCATTTTCTTTTAAAAATCAGTTTGCCATACAGATGGGCTTCACCCTTCTTTCTCTCTTGTTTTTTCCACAATTTTTCCCTGAAAGAAAGAAAGAAAGAAAGAAAGAAAGAAAGAAAGAAAGAAAGAAAGAAAGAAAGAAAGAAATAGATAGATAGATAGATAGATAGATAGATAGATAGATAGATAGATAGATAGATAGATAGAGGGGGTGTTTGGAGATAGATAGAGGGGGTGTTTGGGGGATAGATAGATAGATAGATAGATAGATAGATAGATAGATAGATAGAATGGAGAAAGAAAGTAAGCAAGAAAGAAAGAAAAAGAAAGAAAGAAGTTTATGGAGAAAGCAAGCAAGCAAGAATTGGATTTTCTTTCCAATCAAAACAGAGATGGAACATTGAATATTTTGGTTTCCAAAAGCCAAAACAAACTGGCAACGTAATTTAAATTCTTGAAATGTTAAAAATGCTGGCCTGTTGAAAACCCACCACGGGAAACACACATTTTTTTGGTTTCATTCCAGTTTCAATTTCCCCCATGAAAACGCAACTATTTCGCAAAAAAATGGGATTTCCCCCCCCCATTCTAAACTCCAGTCCCTCAGACAGAGACAAACCCTTACAGGATCTATATAGAGCATTCCTAAAACTGAACTACCCACCCAGAGAAGAGAAAAAACCGAGCGACAGAGCCAGATGAATACCCGGACATGAACTCCTCCAAGAGAGGCCAAGAAGAGAATTCCACTTGTCATCCCCTACAGCCCCAATTCAAACCATTCCAGTGCTTTAGCCACACTCTACAGCCTAGCCTGGAAAACGGCCAATTCTCTCCTACCGATAACCTCGAGACTCAAACAAAGTTTTTCCAGGAACCACGCCACCCATCCCCATCATATTCATCCAAGAACCCACCTCTGCAATCAGCCCCGGTGCCAATTCTGCCCACGCCACACCAGCGATTTCATCACCGGACCCGAACCACATCAGCCATTGCAACCGATGCGCACTGAACAGCACGTCCACCGGCGGGATCTATGCCAGACACAGTCTCTACTATGGGACACAATCGATGGGCGCAAATCAGATCCCCGAAAAGGCAACTTACAGAACTCTGTTGGAGAACACTTCATCCTTCCCCCGGCTCTCATGAATGGGTCTCCGAGTCGATCCACGCCAATTTCACCAGCCAAATAAAAAGGGAAGGATTGGAACAGCATGTCTTCTCCAAGTTTGATCCTTATCAGAGACGAACGAATAAAGACATCAGCTCCTTGGCACATTACCTTCCTGATCACTTGGCCTGGCACATTATCTTCCTGATCACTTGGCCTGGCACATTATCTTCCTAATGAGTTGGCCAACCAGCCAACCAATGTGTTCTCCTAGAGGTGCAAACTGTTCCTAGCAGCCTCTTGGAACTGGAACAATCCACGGTCCTATTTTTTCCTCTTTCTCCTACCTCCGCTCCGCCGGTCTTCCCTCAATATTTCTTGCATCTGGACTTCTGAGACTCCACTCATCTGAAGAAGTGGGTTGTGCCCACGAAAGTCACGATACCAGCAACACGGTTTGTTAGTCGGGAAGGTGCCACTAAAGCCATGTTGGTCAGCCTTTTTTAAAATAAACTACCTCTTTTTCAAAACAAAAACCAAGTAAGTACCCCCCTTTTAAAAAAAAGAAAAGAAATGTACCCCCAGTAGCTACAGGTTTTAGACACACGACATTTTTTTTCCTACCGTGGCAACACGTCTGTTTCAGCAACGTCATCGTCGCCAGATGGGCCGAGACGTTGTTGGGTATAGAAAGTCCAAAAGGAACAAAGCGCTGTCACACGGCAGACGAAAATTCAGCATTCTCCAGATTTCAGAGGTGTGGATGTGCGCCCTGGGCGCACGGCGCCTGATGGCAGCTCTATGGGGCTTCTCCTAACCCCCGGTCCCGGGTGCACGGTGCCTGATGGCAGCTTTATGGGGCTCCTCCTGACCCCCGGTCTCGGGTGCCCGGTGCCTGATGGCAGATCTCTGGGGCTTCTCCTGACTCCCGGCCCCGGGCGCATGGTGCCTGATGGCAGCTCTATGGGGCTTCTCCTAACCCCCGGTCCCGGGTGCACGGTGCCTGATGGCAGCTTTATGGGGCTCCTCCTGACCCCCGGTCTCGGGTGCCCGGTGCCTGATGGCAGATCTCTGGGGCTTCTCCTGACTCCCGGCCCCGGGCGCATGGTGCCTGATGGCAGCTCTATGGGGCTTCTCCTAACCCCCGGTCCCGGGTGCACGGTGCCTGATGGCAGCTTTATGGGGCTCCTCCTGACCCCCGGTCTCGGGTGCCCGGTGCCTGATGGCAGATCTCTGGGGCTTCTCCTGACTCCCGGCCCCGGGCGCATGGTGCCTGATGGCAGCTCTATGGGGCTTCTCCTAACCCCCGGTCCCGGGTGCACGGTGCCTGATGGCAGCTTTATGGGGCTCCTCCTGACCCCCGGTCTCGGGTGCCCGGTGCCTGATGGCAGATCTCTGGGGCTTCTCCTGACTCCCGGCCCCGGGCGCATGGTGCCTGATGGCAGCTCTATGGGGCTTCTCCTAACCCCCGGTCCCGGGTGCACGGTGCCTGATGGCAGCTTTATGGGGCTCCTCCTGACCCCCGGTCTCGGGTGCCCGGTGCCTGATGGCAGATCTCTGGGGCTTCTCCTGACTCCCGGCCCCGGGCGCATGGTGCCTGATGGCAGCTCTATGGGGCTTCTCCTAACCCCCGGTCCCGGGTGCACGGTGCCTGATGGCAGCTTTATGGGGCTCCTCCTGACCCCCGGTCTCGGGTGCCCGGTGCCTGATGGCAGATCTCTGGGGCTTCTCCTGACTCCCGGCCCCGGGCGCATGGTGCCTGATGGCAGCTCTATGGGGCTTCTCCTAACCCCCGGTCCCGGGTGCACGGTGCCTGATGGCAGCTTTATGGGGCTCCTCCTGACCCCCGGTCTCGGGTGCCCGGTGCCTGATGGCAGATCTCTGGGGCTTCTCCTGACTCCCGGCCCCGGGCGCATGGTGCCTGATGGCAGCTCTATGGGGCTTCTCCTAACCCCCGGTCCCGGGTGCACGGTGCCTGATGGCAGCTCTATGGGGCTCCCCCCGGCGCCTGATGGCAGCTATAACCCTCATAGGTTGGTGCCCCAGGCAGCTGCCCGGCCAGCCCCCCCCTTTAATCCGGCCCTGCCCCCAGATGTCTCTCATACAGGGTCCTTGTACCACAGACTGAGAAACATTGTGCTCGACTATTTGTTGTGTTTGACGTTTTTCCTGTTACCAATTCGTGCGACTCCTGCTCTGAAGCTTTAGAACATGAGAGCGGCCAGACGGGGTCGGACCAAAGGTCCATGCGGCCCAGCGTCCTGTCTCCCCATCGCGGCCAAAGCCAGGTGCTCCAGCCAACAAAACAGGGAATCCTCACGTGATCCATCTCCTGGCGCCCATTTCCAGCCCCTGGCAAATAGAGGCCAGGGACACCATGCCTGGCTAATCACCACGGATGGACCCAACCTCCATGAATGTATCTAGTTCTTTTTTGAAGCCTGTTCAAGTCCTGGCCTTCACCACATCCTCCGGCGAGGAGTTCCACAGGTGACATTTTCTCTTTTTTTTCCCCCCCACCAAGCCTTTTTTTCCAGAGAGCTAACACATTTTGATCCTCCCAGGATCAGTTTGTTCTGCTTCAGCGCCGCGCTGCAGCTGCCAGCAGGCACAGGGGCGCAGCGACCTGGCAGGCGTGGGAGGCCTGTCCCGCGGCAGCGTGAGAACGCCAGGTCCCCATGATGCAAGTGGCAGGGAGGCGGTCTGCAACTTGGGCTCCGATCATCTTCTGCCTCCCTTTGTCAGTAACGCGTCGAGGAGTGTGGCAACGGGGGCTCTGGTGGATTTCAGGTTGATGTGCGCCCCGGCGTGGGAGGGTGGAGGGAAGTTTACAAAATGTCTCAATCCTGTGTGTGTGTGGGGGGGGGGGCGCACAACGGGGAGACGGGACGAGCAGACGCGTCCCCATAAACGAGCCACCGAGGGGCTGTGTGACGTGACCTTGGTCCACACAAGATGTTCGACAGGAGCTCGGGGCACCAGGTCTACACGGGGGGAGTGAGAAATGTGACCAAAGAGATGCAGCTCCGCCTGCAAGGCCAGTGATGGAGTCGATGGGCCTTACGGCGAATTTCTGAGGGAGGTGGACGTGAGACGCTCTCTTGTCGACTTCTCCTGAACCGAGAGAGAGAGAGAGAGAGAGAGAGAGAGAGAGAGAGAGAGAGAGAGAGAGAGAGAGAGAGAGAGAGAGAGAGAGAGAGAGAGAGAGAGAGAGAGAGAGAGAGAGAGAGAGAGAGAGAGAGAGAGAGAGAGAGAGAGAGAGAGAGAGAGAGAGAGAGAGAGAGAGAGAGAGAGAGAGAGAGAGAGAGAGAGAGAGAGAGAGAGAGAGAGAGAGAGAGAGAGAGAGAGAGAGAGAGAGAGAGAGAGAGAGAGAGAGAGAGAGAGAGAGAGAGAGAGAGAGAGAGAGAGAGAGAGAGAGAGAGAGAGAGAGAGAGAGAGAGAGAGAGAGAGAGAGAGAGAGAGAGAGAGAGAGAGAGAGAGAGAGAGAGAGAGAGAGAGAGAGAGAGAGAGAGAGAGAGAGAGAGAGAGAGAGAGAGAGAGAGAGAGAGAGAGAGAGAGAGAGAGAGAGAGAGAGAGAGAGAGAGAGAGAGAGAGAGAGAGAGAGAGAGAGAGAGAGAGAGAGAGAGAGAGAGAGAGAGAGAGAGAGAGAGAGAGAGAGAGAGAGAGAGAGAGAGAGAGAGAGAGAGAGAGAGAGAGAGAGAGAGAGAGAGAGAGAGAGAGAGAGAGAGAGAGAGAGAGAGAGAGAGAGAGAGAGAGAGAGAGAGAGAGAGAGAGAGAGAGAGAGAGAGAGAGAGAGAGAGAGAGAGAGAGAGAGAGAGAGAGAGAGAGAGAGAGAGAGAGAGAGAGAGAGAGAGAGAGAGAGAGAGAGAGAGAGAGAGAGAGAGAGAGAGAGAGAGAGAGAGAGAGAGAGAGAGAGAGAGAGAGAGAGAGAGAGAGAGAGAGAGAGAGAGAGAGAGAGAGAGAGAGAGAGAGAGAGAGAGAGAGAGAGAGAGAGAGAGAGAGAGAGAGAGAGAGAGAGAGAGAGAGAGAGAGAGAGAGAGAGAGAGAGAGAGAGAGAGAGAGAGAGAGAGAGAGAGAGAGAGAGAGAGAGAGAGAGAGAGAGAGAGAGAGAGAGAGAGAGAGAGAGAGAGAGAGAGAGAGAGAGAGAGAGAGAGAGAGAGAGAGAGAGAGAGAGAGAGAGAGAGAGAGAGAGAGAGAGAGAGAGAGAGAGAGAGAGAGAGAGAGAGAGAGAGAGAGAGAGAGAGAGAGAGAGAGAGAGAGAGAGAGAGAGAGAGAGAGAGAGAGAGAGAGAGAGAGAGAGAGAGAGAGAGAGAGAGAGAGAGAGAGAGAGAGAGAGAGAGAGAGAGAGAGAGAGAGAGAGAGAGAGAGAGAGAGAGAGAGAGAGAGAGAGAGAGAGAGAGAGAGAGAGAGAGAGAGAGAGAGAGAGAGAGAGAGAGAGAGAGAGAGAGAGAGAGAGAGAGAGAGAGAGAGAGAGAGAGAGAGAGAGAGAGAGAGAGAGAGAGAGAGAGAGAGAGAGAGAGAGAGAGAGAGAGAGAGAGAGAGAGAGAGAGAGAGAGAGAGAGAGAGAGAGAGAGAGAGAGAGAGAGAGAGAGAGAGAGAGAGAGAGAGAGAGAGAGAGAGAGAGAGAGAGAGAGAGAGAGAGAGAGAGAGAGAGAGAGAGAGAGAGAGAGAGAGAGAGAGAGAGAGAGAGAGAGAGAGAGAGAGAGAGAGAGAGAGAGAGAGAGAGAGAGAGAGAGAGAGAGAGAGAGAGAGAGAGAGAGAGAGAGAGAGAGAGAGAGA